TGGTGGAGTGATTTCATGGTTAATAAGCTTGAACTATTGCTAATGAGATTAAGAATAATTCTAAGTTTATTGGAGCTTGGAATATCTTTGTCCAAATAGATTTCCCACTTAGATTCGCAAAATTCAACTTGTTTAAATTGAAATGTATGTTTTAATTTGATTAATTAAATTGTGTATAAAAATAGCAACTTTAGCATGCTTGTTTAATTTAGACAAGAAAACATGTTTGATCTTAATTTAGACAAGAAAATATGTTTCTCTTAATTTAAGACAAAAAAATTATTTTTTATCGTAATCTAGACAAGAAAACATATTTGTCTCAATTTAGATAAGATAAAATATTTTTGTTTTAATTAAAGATAAGAGTTGTCTGAAATTAAGATAATGCTAGGAGACTTCATGTTGATAAAATATTCTTGCAAAATGAATCTAGACATCCATGTTGATAAAAGAAGACTTCATGTTTGGCTATCACTCTTTTATTTATTATTAATTCTTTTTAAATAAAGATGGATAATAATAAAATAAGCGTTATTATTTAATAAGGAGTTTTATTTTAACAAGAATTCTAAATGATAATTAAATAATTAAATAATTTATTCTTTAATTTTAATTTTGATAATTATGGAGTATGTTTGATACTTCCATAACTCTAAATGGATGCTCTAGATCGATTCAAAGGTGTTTGATTTTGATTAAACCTTTAAACCAAGAGTTTTAATAAAAAGAGAAGAGATTAAAAAAAAACATGTACTTTTTTCTTGAAAAAGTTTTAGCAGTCACTTCTCTTTTTCTCCAACATTTGCTGTATCTTTCTTCCTCTCTCCCATTCTTAACTAAATTTTTTAAAGAAAAGTCGCTATTAATATTAGGAAGAAAAGAGAGACCAAATCGGTTACCATCTTGTAATCTTACATTCCACACCTTGTTTACTCAAGGTTTAAGTTGAAAGCATTCTCAAAGAATAAATGATAAACTTGTTTAATCGAAAAATTATTCATTAGTATGGTAGTGTCCAAAAATAAAAATCTCAAAATAAAAAGTATGTTTTTTCTTAATAAATTCTTATTCTTTTTAGGATGTAATTATGTTACTTATAATAAGAATGGTATATGTTTCCGCTTGTGTAATTGGATTACTTGCTTCCTTTATAAAATAAATTTTTTAAAATCTATGCTTAACACAATCACATCAATCCACTAAGATCCTACTCCAGCAATTGGTATCAAAGTAAGGATTATTATAAGTTTTGTTTCCTATATTTATTTTGCATGGTTGGCACCTTTGCATATATTTAACTATATTGATGTGATCAATGTATGGTTGTATGTTATGATACATGATTTCAAGTTTTTGCCGCATTAATTGCCTTAAAAAATTTTACTTGTAACCTTTTTTCTTTTGGTTATGTAACAAAAAGGGTGGCTTATCATCTCCATGTTTCCTTCTTGATTTTTTTTATTTTTCTTAGATTTATTTAACTAGGAAAAGCCATATAATTTTAATATTACTTGATGTATTTGGTGCATCCATGGAAAAAAAAAAGTTGAGAGCCAAAAAGAAAAGGTAATTAAGTAATATTTGATCTCTTTAATTTTTTTTATGATTATTAATTTTTTTAAGAAAAATGAGTTTTTCTTGCATCAAATTGTTTTAAGAAAAAGAGTTTTTCCTACATTAAAATTCTATTATTTAAAAAAAATTTCCATTAATTTTTTTTTTATAAAAGAAACAGGAAGATAGGTGCGGTGGGGTGTCAGGCAGCACACAGCCCCCTACTGTGTGTTGTTGGGCAACACTATGTGCTGTTGGATAGCACACAGTGGTAGTGTGCTGTCGGACAATAGCACATGTTGCTGCCAAGTGCAGCAACAAGTGCTCTCGCAAGGCAACTGGCCGCATAGGTTACTGCAAGTGTACAACTCACCTTTAGGCTGTTGGGCAACAACCCATCAGGGTGGGCGCCTTCCAAATTTTTTTAATAAATTAATTCTTTTAAAAAAATTATATATATGTTCTTAAAAATTTTTCAAAATTTATTTTTTTTTTATTTTTGAAAAATTAACATTTTATCCTTGGATTGAAAATTATTTTATTTTGGTATTAATTAATTAGACAAAATAAAATTATTTTTTCAAATTGGGTTAAAATTAAAATTAAAATTAAAATTATAGATTTTAAATAGTCATAAAATTCAAAAAAGTGTCATATGAATGTAATCTTAGTAAGCAGCGGAAGCAAGCAAGATTGAAGAGAATTACAAATTGTAATTTCTTTTTTATTTCTAGGAAGGACATTAATGTGACTTATTATTATATATGTATATATTTATGTGCACTAATATGAATGATATTAGATATTATTTGTATGCTCGAAAACATGTCATCTAGAATTAAAGGTGCTAACTTCTCTTAAAGAATGCCATGCATACATTATGTATTTTAGTTTAAAAGGAGTTTTATACTATGAGATACATAATGAATATAGGAAAATAAATCACATCTAGACAAGATGATAATATGGACTTAGTTATATACTAAAAGTATTTAATTGCAAACATAACCAAGCCTATAATTTGACTCAAGATATTTTAAATATGTATTTAGAAAATTTGACAAAAGTAAATCAAAACCCTAAGTATAAAAATATTGAATGGGAAAGGATGTTAATAATCCTAGAGTGCACGGCCTCCATTGTTGGCCCATTAGCATGTGAAACATGTCACTCTCTACAAGCGAACATGAATCTAGATCATGACGGACTAGGTCTCTGAAAGGATAAATCCTTTTAGGTGGATTATGAAGTGAGACCTCCCATTGAGGCTCACTAAGTAAGACTCTTAAAAGAATGAAACAACGGTTGTTACACTCAACATGAATTTACTATTAACTTGCCTACAATAGCTCTATTGGTAATCTTCGTTGACCAAATGAAAGTGCTTCTTAATCATGTTAAGTATAAAGATACTGGGTAACATAGTTAAGTGAGGGGATCCCAGTTTGCCTAGTAGTAAACTCTCACGACCCATAGTCGATTAATTTATTACATGTAAATGACCGTTGAACTAATAATACAATTTATCAAGTTTTATATATTGTCATCATGCATACATGCATCATGAAATGTTCAAAGTCCATAAATAACTAGTATGCTTACATAATTTCAAATGTACTTTCAAAAATATATCTACATCAGAAATATGAATCCACTTTCAATTTTGTTGAACAAATGCACTCTGAATGGTGATAACTACACTAAATGGAAAGGAAACCTTAATATTATCCTTAATTATGACAAAATTACATAGGTTCTTTCTGACCATGTGCCTAAAGCACCAACTTCCTAATCAACTCCACAAGATATTGAATATCATAAGAAATGGCATGATGCAAATGACCTGGTTAAATGTTATATACTAGCCTCTATGAACAGTATATTGCAAAAGCAGCATGAAGGCATGAGTAATCCTACTAACATAATGGTGCACCTACCTGAAATGTTTGGTACAAAAACAGGGTTTGCTAAGGTGAAAGTAATCAATGCTTTTAAGGACCTTAAGCAAAAACTTGGGAAGCCAGTTAAAGATTACATGCTGAAACTGATCTCTTATCTCAATAAAGTAGAACTAAATGGTGTTAAGATAGATGTGGAAACGCAAATATCAATGATTGTTCATAGCTTGAAATTGTCATTTTCACAGTTCAAATTAGATTATGAACTGCACATTAGGGCTTACACCCTATGTGAGCTAATGAATGATCTTCAAAATGTGGAGAAGGTTCTTAATTTGAAAAAGAAGCCTGAAAGACAAGCTATTTCCATTCTAAGCCAAAACCTAAGGGTTAAAAGAAGATAGTTAAGAATAAAAGGACTTTTAAAGGCTTAATGGGAGTAAAAAAAAAGCCCATGAAGAAAAAGACTACTTAATAAGACAACACCAAAGGAAAATGTTTCCATTATGGTGTGAAAGGACATTGGAAGTGAAATTGCAAGGTTTACCTTGAAGAAATCCAAAAGTGAAAACAAGGTATGGGTTTTCTAAATATGTTAGAAGCTTATTTAATGGTTAATTCTACGAATACTTGGATAGTAGATTCTAGGGCCATTAACCATGTTTGTAATTCTTTACAAAGGTTTCCACAAAGGAGAAAACTAAGTAAAAGGCAGTTTTGGATGAGAATGGCAAATGGCACATTCGTTTCAACATTAGTAGTAGGACTCATTATTCATCAATTTCCTTATGGTCGTAACTTAGTTTTGAAAAATGTTTATTACATATCAGAGACTTATAGAAATTTGATTTCTATCTTTTACTTAATAAAGTCTGGATATTCAGTTTCTTTTAATGAGACACTCACTATATATTCCAATAAGGATTTTATTTGTTCTGAAATTGTTATATATAATCTTTATTTCCTTGAACCTACAACTTATTCTACAAATGCTATAAAAGCAATACCATATAAAACTGAAAGAGTCAAAGAATTTAGCATAAATCAAAATTATCTTTAGCGTCTATATTTAGTTCATATCAATCAAAATAAAGTCAATAGGCTTAGAAAGGATGGTACTATACTAGACATGGTTAAGGGTCCTTTGCCAATATATGAGTCTTGTATTGAACCTAAAATGACTAAAGGGCTTTTCAAGGCAAAAGGAAACAGAATGCCAAACGTTCGAGACTTGGTGCCAACAGATGTGTGTGGACCAATGAACATAAAAGCTAGAGGAGGTTATGAATATTTCATAACTTTTATTGATGACTACTCCAAACATGGCTTTGTGTATTTAATGCACCAAAAAAGTGAATCATTGAAAAGTTTAGAGAATTCAAAGCTGAAGTTGAAGCAACTAGGCAAGCCATTGAAACAACTTCAATTAGATCAAAAAGGTGAGTATTTATCAAATGAATTTCAGCAATATCTCACTAACAATGTGATAGTTTCCAATTTGTCAATGTCGAGAACACCTCAACATAATGGTGTAGCTAAAAGAAGAAATAAGACTCATTTAGAAATGGTTAATCAATGATGTCCTATGCCAACTTTTCAATCTTTTTTTTTTGGGATATTGTATTTAAACTGTTGAGTGCTTGCTCTATTTTGGTCCATCTAAGGCTATACCTAAGACACCAAGAGAGCTGTGGATAGGGCGAAAGTCATCTGCACATCATTTGCGAACTTAGGGGTGTCCAACACATGTTTTCAAGCCTATGTTCACAAAGATAGAACCAAAGACTTGAGGTGTGCTTGTTTGCAGGATATCCAAAGGGAATAAAAGGTTATTACTTCTATAGTCTTCAAGATAAGAAAGTTTTCTTTAGTGCTAATGCTACTTTCTTTGAGGAAAAGTTTATGAGAAGTCATAAAGCTAGAAGTTAAATTGTCTTAGAAGAATTGTTTGATTCTTCAAATTTAAGAGCTAATTTTGAAGATGTCATAACACAATATGATTCAAGGGTTCAAATAGAAACATAACCTGAACATCAAATAGTGATGCCTCGATGTAGTAGGAGGGTTGTGAGACAACCAGAGAGATACATAGGTTTTGGAGAAAACATGATTACATTCTCAAATGAACATGAATCTGATCCTATTATATATAAGGAAGCTATTAACGATGTAGATGGTGAAAAATGGCATAAGGCAATGAAATTTAAGTTATACTCCATGGATTTCAATAAAGTTTGGACTCTAGTAGATCCACCTGAATGGATAAAATCTATAAGGTGCAAATCGATTTACAAGAGAAAAAGAAGAAGTGATGGAAAAGTAGAGACCTTCAAGGTTAGACTAATGGCTAAGGGTTTTACCCAAAAAGAAGGGATTGATTATGAGGAAACCTTCTCGCCAATTGCTATGCTTAAATCCATTAGGATCCTTCTATCCATAGTTGCACATCTTAATTATGAGATATAGCAAATGGATGTCAAGACTGCATTTTTGAATAGGGATCTTAAAGAGCGCATTTAAATGGCTTAACCAAAAAGTTTCATTAAAAAGGGCCACGAGCATAAAGTTTGTGAATTACATAGGTCCATTTATGGACTTAAGCAAACATCTAAGTCTTGGAACATAAGATTTGATATTGTTATCAAATCATACAGTTTCCAACAAAATGTTGATGAACCTTGTGTCTATAAATGAATACAAGATAAAAAAAGTTGTTTTTCTACTTCTTTATATTGATGACATTCTACTCATTGGAAATGGTGTAGGAATGTTATCACTAGTTAAAGGTTGGCTAAACCAACAATTCAATATGAAGGATTTAGGAGAAGCTAGCTATGTTCTAGGTATGAAACTTATAAGAGATCATAAGAACAAACAGATAGCATTATCTCAAGCATCCTACATAGACAAGATTTTGGTCGAGTTTGCTATGCAAGATTCCAAGAAGGGTTTTATGCCTTCTAGGCATGTAAAGCTAGCATGATTTATATGAAAAGGATTATTTATGTATGTTGAAATGATATCTCTAAAGTGGTTGTGAAAGGATTTGAGTTTCAAGAATAAAAAATGATTTTCAAAGAAAAGTAAATTCTAAGTGATTGTGATATGATTGATGCAATGGTTTTCATACTGTTTATGAATCTACTATGAATGTAAATACTCTACTATATATTAGTTTTCAATAAGAAGGGACAAGCACCTTATGTTCGAAGTCCACTCGATTACTATGGTCTTCAGACTAGTGTGGGTACGAGATATTGTATACTTATTTATAGATGCTATAATGTGTATGTTTAGTATAATGAATGCCATAAGATTACATATATGATGTAAATTTCATATATCGTATAAGAAGTTTAAGTGTGTAGAATGCATACTATAAGATTGTATATATGATGTAAATTCTATATACCATATGAGATGATTGAGTATTCATGATAAATGCCATGAGATAATGTATATGATGTATGTTCTATACTACATGAAATGATTGAGAAAGCATGATGAATGCCGTGAGATTATATATATGACGTATTTTTCAAATACCTTAAAAGATGAGTAAACTGGTATGTGAAGGACTTTTCATATACCTAATGCTATGAGTATGAGAATTCTATAAGTGCGATTAATTCCACTCTTATAGGGTGCAAGTGACGAATTCACTCCTATGAGGCATCATAAATGTCCAAGGTACAATGAGACTATACATTGCTAGCACAAGGTTGATAAAGGACATACTATCACAAAGTATGAGTTTAATGTTAATGGAATGATCATAATTATTATGATTATAGCATGTTGCATAGTAATGTTATTTGAGCATTATTCATGATTTGTACTCTATGTTGACATGAAAATGTGTTGACATGAAAATGTGCTTAGTGAATAAGACTAAGCCTAAGAGAAAGTCCCAAAAGGTAATGAACTTAAGGAATGGTAAAAATGGAGGATTTTACTTAGAATTTAGATTTTGTGTTGAAAGTATCGACACATTCCAAACAGAATACTTTAGGAGGCTTTTTGTGTGAAATGTATCGATATATTTTACTAATGTATCGACAGATGTATGAATGTATCGATAGTTTTGGTGCAGAATAAGTTGTTTGATTGAATTTGAAAAGAATTTCAAAGGTAAAGGATTCCCAAAAGTATATATTGACATGCTTTCATACGAATGCTATTCAAATGTGCTCAAATAACATGTTTTATGAATTATATGACTAAATTGTTTATTTAAGATATGAGATTACAAAAGCATGTTTACAAAATACTCTTATCCCCTGGCTTGTACCCTTCTCGTGTACACTTACAAAGTCTTTGTGACTCCCATGTTATTTTCCCTATTCATTTTGTTGCAAATCAGTGATAGCATTTAATAGCAACTAGTGTCATGCATACTAGTGTTTAGTATTCATTCTTTAATAGGTGTCTAATAGCCACTTGATGCTTAAAGGATCGATCACGTTCTGCTGCTAAGTTGGTCTTTTACTTTATGTGTGTGTTTATAAACTATGAACATGTTTATGTTAAAGTTGCCATGTTGGGCATTATATATTGATAATGTTATTTATGAGATTATGATGATGGCTCGAGAGCCTACTTAGACACTAGAGGGTGTTGTGGATAGGTAATGTTAATGTGCTCTATGATAGTGGCATTTTTTTAGAGATATATATATATATATATACTAAATGCTTGAGCTTATACAATTAAATTAAAAGGTTCCTTAATTATATAATGAGTTTTATGAATGCATGCTTGATGGTTTCGTGTGTAAATGGACGTTATGAGATGCTTCTGCATGTAATAAGGAATTGTTTAATAAGGTTATAGTAAGAGGCTTGCTTGGGCCTAGCGAGTTATACTCGTCTGGGTCCATGCGCCAGTCATGATCCTTTCAAGAAATGAGATGTGACACTAACGTCAAATAAACCATTAAAGAACTCAACCAAAGAATATAACTATTTTATATGTTATAAGTTAAGTGTTTTGCAAATGTGTAGAGCATAAATGATTGGTCTAAATCCAAGAAAAATCTGATAAAACAAAATAAATTCATGAAATCAAGTGAGAAATAGAAAAATAAAAACAAAATTGTAAACAATTGTTTTGAAGAAAAAGGATAAATAGAACATTGATGAGAAAACATTGAACAAACTATCAACAAACATAATCCAAATCAATGCTGTATAAAAGAAAAGCAGTTGACATAATAATAACTCACCCAAGTACCATTGTAAAAACTTAATTTCAAAAAAATCAATAAATAAAGATTAGAGAGTAGAAAATAAAAAGTTATAATTCTAAACTTGATGAAATTAATCTTAAGCTAGTGTAATAATTCAATCAAAGTACATGAGATGGTTCTTATCTACTTTACCATTAGTTATGATTACATGAATAT